AGCTATTTGGCCCCTGTGCAAGCTCTCTGAAGTCCCATTCTCTTGCCTTTTGCCCATACCTTGTCCGGGTGTATCCTTTTCAAATATTTATCTAATTTCTTCTTAAAAACTAGTACGGTAACGGATCTTACCTCAACCACAGTTCTAAAAAGGGCATTCTGTAGCCTAACAAAACTCTGTATATAAAAAAAATCTCCGAACCTCCCCCTTTGCTCTTTTGGTAATGCTTTTTGAGATTTTCTCCAGGTTATAGGTAGTATATCAAATGCAAGGGTTATTATTACTACCTTAAATCTATGCAAAAATGTATTGTTACCACCTTAAATCTATGCCCTCTGTTTACCAATTCAGTGGAACTGTAATTTAAAAAACAGATCTTATAATATCTATCGAAAACAGCCTAGTATTTCCTCTACATTAAATCCCTGGAATCCTCCTTGTGAATCTCCACTGCACCCTCTCTATGACATTGGCATGCTTTCCGACGGTAGGCTACCCAAAACTGGACATAATACTCTTAACAGTGAAATAACAAATGATTTATCCAGGCTTAGCATTACTCCATTGGTGCTATATTCTACACCACAAATTATAAAACGTTATTTCATTAGCTTTTTTATAGCTTTGTAGCTCCCACCTTTAAAGATTTGTGTATATTAATCTCTCTGCTCTTCCACTTGTTTTAACGGTTTACCACTTAATATATCACCTCACAATTTTCTTTATTATATTTTGCCTACCATCTATCTGCCCAATCCACTAGTACATCAGTATCCTCCCAATGCCATTTATAGTCACAAGATCTCAAGGGAGATTAGGATGAAGACAACTCTTACCATCCTCCCAGCACATTATCAAGCTGCTTCTTAAAGTCCAGCATCCTGGACTCAACCACCTTTCCTGATAACCCTTCATGTTTCAGTCATTAACTACCCTCTGGGTAAAGAAATACCTGGTTTCTGTCCTGAAGTGTCCCGTATAACCCTAAACCAACATGTCTTGAGATATCTAATATTGTAGTATTATCCAGAATTCACAAATCCATCTAGAATCTGGTTTCCTGAGGTTTTATGAGATTTCCTGAGGTTTTATGAGGTTTCCTGTGCAATGTCTCAAGGCTTAAGAATCCTATCTTATCTAATCATTCCTTATCTCTCCAACAATGGATCAACTTTATTGCTCCTCTTCCCAGTTAGCCACAACTCCCTACTTTGTATCAGCTATAAATTTTAACATTTTACCCCATGTTGCCAAAATTTCTTTTGACTTTTGATGAATCATAGACTCAATACAAGTATGTAATTGTGCTGTAAGGTTGAAAATTAAATTTTACTGTTAACAGCCAACATAATTGATTGGGTTAATCAATTTCCAATTGTTGTGCTATTGTAACATTGCAACCGATGTGTGCAAAGTTGTATGCAACCCAGATGATGTTATTGTTATTTTGAAACTTTGTTTATTGTTACTTGTGATAAATCTCCTGAAAGTCATATTTGTGTATGTGTAGATGTAAAGCAAATGTTGTTAAATATAAATCAGATAATTTTGTCCCATCCAGTTAGCGATATCTCGGAAAGTTTAGGTCCAGTGCAATATTTACCAGGACTTGATTTTCCCTATATAGAAACTCCAGTATGACTAAACAACCCTCTTTGAGTCAAATTAGGCACACCCTAATGAACAGCCCTATACAAATTTAAATTCCACTCCATTTCTTCCTGTAGGGTCATTGCATTTTTTCACAAAATAAACACTTAACCCTAAAATAATATTTTTGGTTCTTTCAGCTCAGGTCCTAAGCTATGACTGTCAAGTGCCTTGATATGTTCTCCTTGATGTGAAAGCTGCTACATGAATGTAAGTTATAATTTATATGGTAATTTATTTAACATTTAGGGCATACACAAAGTGATTTTTAAATAAATTTGCTTTTTTATCATATTATATGATTCTTTTCCTTTTTTAAAAAAAGATTCTTTAATTTGTAGCTATTTAAATATTTGCAATAATAAATAAATTGTTTTACCAATTGGTTAAATGTGGTAAACAAATCATAAATTATTATTGAGGAGTTACTTGTTGAATACATTTTAAGGATATACAGAGTGACCAAAAAGTCATGATAACATTTATTTTAATAATAATTACTTTATATCTTCAAAGATATAAAGTGCATTATAAAAGTGTTCAGTGCATAAATATTAAAAGATTTTGCTGTAGTATTCTTAGTAAATTAAATAAACTCGGTACTCTTTAAAAATAATACAGTAAAGATGATTTCCCTGTACGTGTACACATTCGTGTAATGAAAATGACATTTTCCATCACTTTCCTGAGTTTTTCGGCTGGAATGAACTTCACAGCCTCTCTGATATTAGCCTTCAGCGCCATTATTGATTGTGGACGATTTTGTCGGTGATTTTGTCACCTTGTCAGTAGGTAACAACTGTTGGATAACTTGGATTTTGTAAGGGAATAATTTCAAATCACGTTTTAGTATTTTTCGCACAGACTATCTTTTTAGGTCAAGTTCTTGAGACAGCCGTCAAACAGATTTTTTAGGGCTCCTGATCATCGCTCCTCTGAATGATTCAACTGTTCACACTGTTCAAGGCCATCCACTTCTTTGTGCATGTTTAATACTTCCTGTACCACCAAATGCAGACATAGCACAATATGGACATCTTTGATGGACTATCATGTAATCCAAATTTTTTTCGAAACTGCAACGACGACCGAATTTCCATTCAAGAAGTACAGTTCCACAATTACAGCACGATGTTCATTGCTCCATTTCTCCATGACTAGTTCAATTTTCTTAATTTTCAAATAACCTAACCTAAAAAAATCATAATTTCCTTAAGACTTATTAGATATTGTAAAGATATTATGACTTTTTGGTCACCCTGTATAAAACAATCTTTTCCATTTCTTACATATTTTGTTATTAATTTAGTGCATCCAAATCTTTTTCTAATTATATCCCTCATAGATTCACTAGGTTGGTGCCAGCGATGAGGGGGATGAGTTACGAGGATAGATTGAGCAATTTAGGCCTATATTCTCTAGAATATAGAAGAATGAGAGATGATCTTATAGAAACCTATAAGATTATTAAGGGGCACGACAGAATAGATAGTGGGTGACTTTTTCCCCTGTTTGGAGAAACTATAACCAGGGGTCACACTTTTAAAATTAGGGGTGAGCCCTTTCGCACTGAGTTGAAGAAAAACTTCTTCACTCAGAGGGTAGTGAATTTATGGAATTCTCTACCCCAAAGGGCTGTAGATGCTCAGTCCTTGAACATGTTCAAGACTGAGATTGATAGATTTCTTGTGGTTAAAGGGATTAAGGGATATGGGGATAAGGCGGATAGGTGGAGTTAGAATAGATCAGCCATGATCTTATTGAATGGCGGGGCAGGCTAGAGGGGCTGAATGGCCTACTGCTGCTCCTAATTCTTATGTTCTTATGTTCTCTGGCCTTGGCCTTCGCTGGACTGTGGTTCCACAGTAGCCCGTTGCCCTCTGGTACTTTGCTCAAGTAGTTATTGTTCATGTGTGTACTTTGGCAATAAGTGTCAGCAGGTCACTCGACGATAAGAAGGTGTCACAGCCAAGGTCACCTCTCTCCACACGTGCACACAACAACAACAACAAGATTTCATTTATAGAGCGCCTTTCACGTCAGGAGGACGTCCCAAGGCGCTGTACAGTTGGGTCGGGACCCGAGTGTTGGGGGGAAATGGTCAGGGTGAGGGGAGGGAAGGGAGGGGGCGAGGAGGGGGGAAATGGTCAGGGCGAGGGGAGGGAAGGGAGGGAACGAGGAGGGGGGAAATGGTCAGGGTGAGGGGAGGGAAGGGAGGGGCGAGGAGGGGGAAATGGTCAGGGCGAGGGGAGGGAAGGGAGGGGGCGAGGGGGGTTAGAGAGTCGAGAGGGGAGCTGAAGGCACGGTCAAAGAGACCGGCCTTGAGACCGGCCTTGAAGGAGGAAAGGGAGGAGGCGGCGAAGGCACTGGGGGATAGAGTTCCAGAGCCTCGGGGCTGAGAGGCTGAAGCCCCGGCCACCGGTGGTAGGGGGGTTGGGGCGGGGGACGTGGAGCAGACGAAAAACAATATTCTGCTTGTGCGAGGGGGGGAAAAAAAGTGCAAAAATCTCCCAGCCTTTCCCTGGATGCGCACACCCTTATTGTATTGCAGCCACTGAAGCCTTTCTGCTTGCAAAACGGTGACTGGCTAAATTGAGCAAAAGTGGCACATACACATTTACACACACACTCTCTCTCTTATAGCTCTTCATCTCCCCCCAGAGCACAGGGTCCACCCAGTCTGTGCCCAGGGCCCACGTGATCGCAAGCCCCGCCCACAGCCGACCTCACACGTCCATCACCGCCGCGGCGGCTCCTCATTGGGGCCGCGGATCATTGTGACGGTATCCGCGTCGTTCTGTGCGCGCGACGTTGAGACCTGAGGTTCCCCCCCACACCCCTCCCCCACACCCACACACAGCCCTCCCTCTGGCACTGGGCACTGCTGCTCTCTGTCACTGTCAGTGTCACTGTCCTCTCTCTCTCTGTCACTGTCAGTGTCACTGTCACTGTCCTCTCTCTCTCTGTCACTGTCAGTGTCACTGTCCTCTCTCTCTCTGTCACTGTCAGTGTCACTGTCACTGTCCTCTCTCTCTCTGTCACTGTCAGTGTCACTGTCACTGTCCTCTCTCTCTCTGTCACTGTCAGTGTCACTGTCACTGTCCTCTCTCTCTCTGTCACTGTCACTGTCACTGTCCTCTCTCTCTCTGTCACTGTCAGTGTCACTGTCCTCTCTCTCTCTGTCACTGTCCTCTCTCTCTCTGTCACTGTCACTGTCACTGTCCTCTCTCTCTCTGTCACTGTCCTCTCTCTCTCTGTCACTGTCAGTGTCCTCACTCTCTCTGTCAGTGTCCTCACTCTCTCTGTCAGTGTCCTCTCTCTCTCTGTCACTGTCAGTGTCCTCACTCTCTGTCAGTGTCCTCACTCTCTCTGTCAGTGTCCTCACTCTCTTTCCCATCCCCTGTCCTCAGTCCCGATCCCTTGTCCTCAGTTGTGGGCTGTCTCTCCCCCCCCACACCCCCGGATTGTTTGCAGTGGGGCTCAGCCTCGACATGTCCAATCAGACGGTGTCCAACCCGGTAAGGACCCGAATACTGTCACTTAATATTGTTACACTTGGTGTAAAACTGTGTTTTGATGTAAGACTGGACCGAGTTGTAAGGCAGTGACTTGTCATTCTGTGGCTTAGTTGATAGGACAACAACAACAACTTGCGTTTACTCAGCGCCCTCCCCGCCGGGCGGAGTCCCAGAGCAATGGTGGAGCCCGATGCCGAGCCTGGGGAGGGAGAAGGTGACCGTAGGCACAGTCGAAGAGAAAGGTCTTCAGGCGCAACCTGAAAATGAGGAGAGAGGGGGCAAGGCGATGGGGTTGAGGGAGGGACTTCCATGGCTGCGGGGCATCGTGGCTGAAGGCATGGCCGCCAATGGTGGAGCAGAGGATTCAAGGGACGAGGAGGAGGCCGGAGCCAGTAGAGCAGAGGCAGCGGGTACTGCTGTGAGGAGAGAGGAAGTCGGAGAGATAGGGAATGGAGGGATTTAAACACGAGAGTGAGGGTCTTGAAGTCGATCCGCTCTGTGACAGGGAGCCAGTGGAGTTTGGCAAGGACTGGGGTAATCGGGGTACGGAGTTTGGTGCGGGTGCGTTTACGGATGGCAGAGTTTTGGATGAGTTGAATTTCGTGAATAGTGGAGGAGGGGAGACCGGCGAGGAGGGCGTTTGAGTAGTCCACTCAGAACCATGAAGGTTGAGGTGAAAGGAGAGGAGGTGGAAGAGGATAGAGTGGTCAATGGTATTAAAGGCAGTAGAGAGGTCAAGGAGGACGAGGAGGCAGAGGGAGTTTGGCAGTTTGACCAGGGCTGTTTCTGTGCTGTGGGCGGCCTGGAAACCCAATTGGAGGGGTTCGTGAAGGGAGTGGCGGGAAAGGAAGGAGCGAAGCTGGGAAGCAAAGACTCGTTCAAAGACATTGGAAAGGAAAGGGAGGTATAACATATGCAAGCATTATTATTATTTAGAAGCACTGTTAGTGTTTTTTTTGAGCCACAAAATAAAAGCCCCAGGAGAAGAGATTTTTAAAGGTCCAATTTTGCATCAGAAAAGGGAAAAAACTGAAGGGGAAAAACGATCAACATCAAAACCCCTGGGTAAATTCAATGAAAATTTGTTGATAAGATTTAAATTTGCCGCCTGAGTTAAAGATAGGCAGAGAATAGCATAAACATTTCAATTGCATAACTCCAAAAGGCTTTTTTTTGGTCAGCCGGGTGTCTCACACATACGAAAACCCATCCCCACGTTTAAAAGTATCCAAACCAGACTGAGAGTTCCACATCTGTACTTCACCTACATTTGGAAATTTCCCTGTGTTCGGGATGAAATGCAATTCCTCCCTGGAGGAATGCAACCTGCTTACTTTATGCTGGAGAGTATAGGTTGGGCAAGAGTCAAGGCATGCAGACCCCAGAGTGTGCTAAACCTCTCCCTGTCCTCTGGTCCTGTTCCCACCCCATTAAAAACTGCCGTCATCACTCCTGTCCTTAAAAATCCCTCACTGGACCCAGCTCTGCTCCCGAACTACCGCCCCATCTCCAACCTCAGTTTCCTCTCCAAGGTCCTGGAACGAGTTGTTGCTTCTCAGCTTCGCTCCTTTCTCTCCCACCACTGCCTTCTCGAACCTCTCCAATCGGGTTTCTGTGCCGCCCTCAGCAAGAAGCAGCCCTGGTCAAAGTGACAAATGACATTCTGTCCATCTGTGACCGGGGCTCTCTCTGCCTCCTTGTCCTCCTTGACCTCTCTGCTGCCACCACCTCTCCTCTCACCTTAACCTTGTATCCTCTCCTGCATTAGGCTCCGCGACCCTATCACCCTCATCCTCGCCCAACTCCACTGGCTTCTCATCACACAGAGGACACAGTTCAAGATCCTGGTCCTCACCTTCAAAGCCCTCCATGGTCTTGCTCCCCCCTACCTATGCGACCTCCTAACCCGCTACCATCCTGCTCGCTCCCTCCGCTCAGCGTGCTCCAGCCTGCATCACGTCCCCCGCCTCTCTCACGGGTGGGCCTTCTTCCACTCTGCTCCCATCCTCTGGAACTCCATCCACATCCCTCTGCCTCGCCCCCTCCCTTGCCAGCTTCAAGACCCATCTCAAGACCCTCCTGTTCGACCGTGCTTTTGATCTCCCTGCTTCCCCCCCCCCTGCCCTCTATCCTCCCCGACCCCGAGCTCTGGTCCGTAACTCTGTCTGTCTGGCACCTTGGGACGTCCTCCCGATGTGGAAGGCGCTTTACAAATGTAATTTTGTTGTTGTGTGTTGAGGTACTGCTGGAGTTTAACTGGCTAAAATCGTTTTGTTTGACATTGAGAGCATTGACTGGCCAACCAGTGACAAATAGCTCCTTCACTCCTATCACGAACAACAAACATGAGCCATTCTGACACTTAAGTAACTAACTTGATGACGAAGGGGAAGGTTTCATCTGTAAACTATCAGCGGTTATGTGTGAATACCAGGGGTGCAGTGGCCCCGAAAAGGCTTTGGGATTGCAAGTGATATGCGAACTTCCAATTCGGGGGGTTGCTGGTTCGGGTGTGGAGGGGGTGGGGGTGGGGTGGGGGGCTGTTGGGAGGGGTTCTGCCAAGTGTAAGACGCACATCTTAAAAAAGAAAACCCAATACGTAACTTGGAGGTTAATTTTTTCTTTGAAATAACAATCTGTTGATTTGATATGTCAGCAGGATGTCTCAAAGTAGCTGAAATTATTTTTCTCTTGTAAGATTTTCGGGTTATGTTACACTTTCTGTCGTGTTGATGTATTGTGTATTTTTTTAATAGGTGATACCATACACTGGAGCTATCTTTGGTGGCCTGCTTCGTGGGCAAATGGTAGCAGTGCAGGGAGTGATACCCAAGAACTCTGAGAGGTAAGATAATTAATCACTGCACGTATTTTATTTGAAGTCTTTTGCATCTTAATACCAAACTCACTGTACAGTGTTGGGTTGCTTAGGATTGTTTCACATATTTTATTGCTGTGTGCTATTTGGCTTCTGTGTTCGCCTACAAAATACAGTCATTACAGTTTATAGTGTATCGTGTGAAGTGCCTTGAGACATTCTAATGATGTGGAAGGGACTATATCAATGCAAAGATAATTTTATTTTTTATTTTTATTATTGAAACAGCAGTTACTGTCTGTGAGTTGGAATCAGCTGGTGCCTGAAATGCAGCTTTAGTGGTTCATTGTCCCACAGAGAGTAGGCAGCTGAGAATAAATAAAAAGTAACACTGAGGACAGGAAAGTGACCAGCTGGTGTCTATGATGAGATAACTGACACATATCATTGCTTGTCATTTTTTAACCAAAGCCAAGGGATTGATTGAGCTATTTTTCTACATTGAAGAAGGTTTATTATTCTCCATATTATATTACTCTATTATTATGGAGTCAGCTGGACATTAATCATTGATCAGCAGCTGTTACGGTAGGGAAAGAAAATAGCAAAGAATTGTGAATGAGACCGAGTAATTTGTTTCTGAAGTTTCCATTTTGTCTTACTCATGCTGAGACCTGTGCCAGAGTTTTGCATAGATCTGGACAATATAGGGCTAACATTTTTTTACTCTAATGGTTCTGGTAGATCAAGCAATTGCCGAGTGCAGACCAAACCTCACAGAGGAGCAAGTTCTCAGATGGGCAGCAATGAGGACTTTACAATTTAGATTTTAGACTTGATTTTGATGAGATTTATTTTCTTTTTGGTCAGCCTGATACATGCAGAATCCCATCGCCATGCTTAAGAGGATCCAAATCAGACTGAGAATTCCACATATGTATCCCATCAACACATTGGAAATTTCTCTGTGTCTGGAATGTAACAACAACAATTTGCATTTACATAAGGCCCTTCACGACGGACTGTGTCTCGGATCTCTTAATGTAGTTTCTCTGCCTGGAAGGATGCATCCTGCTTAACCTAATTCCAGAAAGTATTAGGTGCAGGTTAGTAAGAGCCAACCTTGATGACGCCAGATTGAACATTGGGGTACTGCTGGAATTTAATCAGCTAAAACCTGATAGGTTACTCCTGAGAGTACGGTTTGCCAAGCTTCCCAATGCTTGTCTACCTATTATTGCTTGGGTTAAGAGGATCTGACTGCGAAGAATCCTTGCATTTTGTCTGCACCAAGTCCTGCCAACAAACCAGATTGGCTGGCCTGCCACCAGTAGTGCCCTTAAATATTATGAACCAGCCTGGAGTGTCAACCTGGACCAGATCAGTTCCAAGGAGACCCCACTTATCTCCCTCGTCAGATAGGAATTTAACATCCAACAAATTAGGTTTCAATCTTCACAAGATAGATAGCAAGTATCAGGAACTCAAGCACAACTCAGCATGAAATCTGTGAGCATTGCCACCATCCTCCTGCCTACCACTCGCCCACACATCTCTACCTATTGAGCCATGGTTGTATCAGTTGGGAGGTGTGGAGCTTGAGCAGCAGCTGCTTACCTCACTATATACCAATGAAGATGGATACCGAGCACTGGATATGTGAGCAACGTGTTCATAAACCCTGACTCCAGATAACACCTTCCAGTAGCTGGTATCCCAAGCCTCAGAGTTTCCTCAGCTATTTGATAGACATCTGCCTTCAGCAAATGAGGATAGATTGGCAAACTTACAGACATTGCAGGGACCAATTATGACATAGATGTAACATTTTGTACACCGCCTCAGTGAGCTTCACTGTATTTAGTCTGCAGTCAATTGAACCACTTATCTTCATAATGTTTTTATGCCATTTGTTTATCGAGATTTCAGACCCTTCAATGCTTTCTGTTTAAAGCAACATACATTTGAGTAGCCATTTTATTTATTTGTTCAATGGCATGTTTTTGAGTGCAAAGTTAGCCGATTTTAAAGCAATAAAATAATAATCCTTGCGTTTGTAGGCTTACCTGCTGAAGGGTAAAGTCGAGAGATAGTTATCTGGTGCATTAGGAGTATTGAGTACATTTGTATTTTGATGACCTTTTTGAATTTGACACTTGCCATATTCTTGTGTTGGAAAATTTCTACCTTAACGTAAATTTTTTTTAAAAACAATTGTTCCATTCTTAACCCAGATATTTAATCCCAGACCAACTCTCTCACACTAGGAATTATTCCTCCCTTTTTAATCTATCTCTGGAAGAGTGGATCAGTTTGACTCCTCCTCTGGTTTCTCACTCTATCATAATTGATTTTGCATTTTTAATTCTTTGCATAATGATTTCTGTTCTGGTAGTTTGTACCAAGATTTTTTTAAAAAGAAAATATTAGCTATTGAAAGTGCTTTAAAAAAAGCTGCCATTTATCTCAGTTTAAGATAACAATGCATTATGAAACCACATTTTCCTGAGTACAATCTCAGTGCAGTTGTGAGCAAGCTACTGCCAATCAATTCATAGGCAGTAGCTATTCATGGCTTTGACGAACATTAGTGCAAGTTATCATTGTTGATTTAAACTGTTGGACAGATTTCAAGTGGACTTTCAGTGTGGAAGCAGTGAGAAGCCTCGGGCCGATGTAGCCTTGCACTTCAATCCACGCTTCCGCAGATCTGGCTGCGTGGTTTGTAACACTCTGGAGCACGAAAAATGGGGTCGGGAAGAGATAAAGTACGAGATGCCATTGAAGAAAGGAGAACCATTTGAGATAATTTTCCTGGTCCTGGTTGACCGATTCAAGGTAATGACAATATTTTGGAGTTGGTTTCGTATTTTATTCTTGTATGGCCCCAACAACTCAACTGAGAATTGTTTTGCTGTAATAGAGAACTCTGTTATATTTCTGCCTCGCCATAAGCTAAGGTATTGCATCACTTTATATCTGGGGAATGTGGAAATCAATTTTTTATGTTTTCTAAGTTTTTGTTGGACAATATTGATTATTTTCTTTCCATCTGGGTGGAGTATAAAAAATGGATGATACTCCTCCCTATCCCCTTAATCTGCGTTGGAGCATATTGTCCCTAATGTAAGGCAAAGTATATTCTTTGTTTTATTTTTCAGCTGAACTACTGTAGAGGCTTGGCACTTCCCTGAGCTTTGTTGAGCTGCTGTCAGGTACCTTTTGATGTCTGAATGAGGAGCAATACTGTTGGAACACACTTCCTACAGTTGGTAGATGGCCCAGGGAGAAAACTGATTGCAAAAAGAAATTCTCTAGAATTGGCAAGACAAAATACTGAGGCCAGAAGCTGTGTGGGACAGACCTGCTCTCTGATGACGGTTTCGAAGGGGTGCAGAAGGGGTCATTGAATGTAGCTTTTCACATTTTCTATGTGGAAAAGTATAATGTATAGACATAATCTGGCATTTTTACTTAAACTGCATTCTCCACGCCGACCTGCTCTGTTTGTTTTATCCTCCAGGTTGCGGTGAATGGAAAACATTTCCTGGAGTACCAGCATAGAATAAGTGTGAATAGAGTTGATACACTTGGAATTTATGGTACCGTCCACATTCAGAACATTGCCTTCTTGGGCACTTCTGTAAGTAGAAGTAACTTAAGCCAAAAGAAGAGAAGGTACCTGATAGTTGATTGAAAGCACAAGAGCAGTCACCGCTAACTCAATAAATTGTTTCTGTACATTCCGTGATATGAATGTAGCTAACAATTTGTTCCCTTAAAGGCACTGACTTGTATACCTCCGGTCAAACAGACCTACTATGAGCAATGTGATGCCATCTATTGCTGATGCCACACACTTTGTGGCATCACACATAACCTAATCACACTCGTTGTGTAGCATCAGGGTTACATGGTCTTTACCTCATTGCCTTTTTTAAAACAAAAGTATCCAGGAGGAAGGATTTCAAATTACTAAAGAAAATGTGCATTAAATGTGGATATTGTGTTTACTAATGAACAAAGATTTACAAAGAATGTTCAGCACTGAAACAGATCATTTGGCCTATCCAATCCCTGCCGGTGTTCACATCACATGAGTCTTCCCTTATTCCTTACTCTCTCCCATACCCTTCCATTCCCCTCCCTCATGTGGATGTCTAGCTTCCTCTTAATTTGATCTCCACTATCCAATTCAACCACTTCCAGCAGCAAGTTCCATAACCTCACTACCATCTGCATGAGATAGTTCCCCCTAAATCCTTTTTAGATCTCCTGGTCTCAATTTTATACTTGTGTCCTCTGGTTACGGGCTACCTAACCAGTGGAAACAACCTTTTTATGTTAACCTCATAAAATCCTTTTATAATTTTAAACACCTCTATTAGGTCCCCTCTTAAACATGTCTTCTCTAGTGAATAAAGTCCTCACCTAATCAGGCTATTTTGATAGAGATAACCTCCCAGTTCTGGTATCATCCTAAAAAACCTAAGGTGTACTGTTTCCATGCAACAGAAATACAATTGTGAATTATTCAGCAATAACAAGCAACAAATCTTTTCTGTGCAACCTATCCTTAGGAGCAGGAAAACCCATATTCCAACCTACCTATAAAGAGAGCTGATGGTGACAATAGTGTAAGTTTAAGAAATTGTACTTTACAATTATTTGCAAGTGTTCTGCTGCCATTACAGTATCATAGACTGGGTTTATTGGTATTTGTTTTGTGTTACAGCAAGTGAAGAGAATCAACAGCCCACTGGTAAGTGCTTTATTTACTGTATGATCCTCAGAGACTGTCAAATGCATTTGTTCTGAATACAGCTAATTCTGCTTAAAGGAAGCATGTCTAATATCAAGTTTGCTGGCTAGATTAGGCTTGAATGTGAAGAATGGGCACTTGGATAAAGTACTGGTGGACTCTGGAACTGTAATCTGGTAGAAGCCAGAGAAAACTAAACACCTTTGTATGTAAAAAGGTGTTTCAGAAATATGTGGCCTAGAGGATGGTGGCCTGATCCTGGTCAATTCAATGGGGGAAACAAGGTGATGATTCATCTTGTCGCCTCTGCTCCCAACACGTCTTGTAGTCATTTGCTATAGTTTTACAGCGTTTGCTGCTCAATCTGTACTGCACAGAGTTTCTTTTGTTGAAATCATCTGCCAAACTACAGCAAATGTGAGAAACAGTTGTTGGTGCTGTGACCTGAGACTGGCCTGTGCTGACTGACTCCACCAAGAAAGAAGTGAGCCTCCAGTTTCCAGTCTGAACCATGGGTTTCCAATTCTGATTGTATGTGTGCATCGATGTTTGGGTGTAGACAGAAATAAATTCAACTGTAATAATTCCTGTATGTCAAACAGCTTTCTAGAAGGGACCGTCCAGACTTTTGTAGACAGAATGGCCACTTCAGTGAGTTGATGGGATACCTACTGCCTGTGGACTGCATCCCACAATATGTGAATAGGTGAACTGTTGGGAAGAAATGAGCACAAAACTCCACTATATTAGAAATCTTGGACATGTGTTCTTAAATATTAAATACAGGGAGCCCATTATAGGGGGCTAGGTCCAGTATTTTGCAGGTTGTGCCATATGCAAGGCCTGAAAATTGTCTGACTCTGACACCCGTGGAGACCCAAAGTTCAATTTTCTTGTCCAGACTAGGGACACTGAAGAAAATGGCTGAGTCACCAGGTCACCACCGAAGTCACTTTCTATTAGGGCAGGATGTGACTTCCATGGCACTTCTTTCAAGGAAACACTATTGGGTCTTCAGACAATAAATCTTTGATCAAATCCTCCAATTAATTGATTCTGGATATTTTCAGTTCATCTACCGTGATACTTACCAAATACTAATTTTACACTAATAGCTACTCCAGCATCAACAAAATAGCATCCTGTAAAATGTAACCCTACTCCATTTATAAATAGTATCACTAATTCAAACTAGAGGTAGAATATATTAAAACCATTATCAGTGCTTGGTCAATGAGAACTTTGGCATCCAGGTTAAAAAAAAATCCAAATTGCAATGTTCTGATTAAAAGCTTCAATTTTTTATTGTCAACAGTTGAACACTTGCTGCTAACCCATAATCTAGAGATAAACCATAATTTCATATTTGATGACTACCTATGTCTTTGGTTTTATTTAGATGGTTCCTTACATGGGTAAACTGAAGGATGGACTAAGTTCTGGACGGATAATCACTATTCAGGGCAGAGTTGATAAGAATCCAACCAAGTGAGTTAATTCTGAAAGGAATGATGTTCTTCAGTAAAGTGCATTGAACCTTATAGCATGACTTAAATGGGGGTGCCAAAACTCACTTAGTTTCTGTGATTTTTTATTTTGAAAAAATGCTGTGAAAAATCTGCAGCCCTACCCATGAATGTGGGGAATAGTATGGCAGTCATCACCACAAACTCCAGGTACATTCATTACATCGATGCTCGACTATGCAAACTCAGTGCTTGTCGGCTTCCCCAACTCCTCCCTCCATAGGCTGCAGACCATCCAGAAATCTGCAGCGTTGAGTCCTCTCCTGCACTAAGCTCCGCAACCCTATCACCCCCATCCTGGCCCGACCCCACTGGCTTTCCCATTACAGCGGAAGTAGTTCAAGATCCTGGTTGTCACCTTCAAAGCCTTCCACGGTCTTGCTCCCCCCTACCTCTGTGACCTCTTAACCCCCTACTATCCTGTTCGCTCCCTCCGCTCAGCGGTCCGGCCTGCTTCACGTCCCCCGCCTTGCTCGCCCCACTATTGGAGGGCGGGCCTTCTGTCACTCTGCCCCCAGCCTTTAGAACTCCATCCTGCAGTCCCTCTGCCTTGCCCCCTACCCTTACCACTTTCAAGACCCATCTCAAGACCGTACTTTCGATCTCCCTGCATCCCCCCCGTCCTCCACCCTCCCGACCCTCAGCTCGGGTCTGAAACTTTGTCTGTCCAGCGCCTTGGGATGTCCCCCCGACGTGAAAGGCTCTTTACAAATGTAATTTTGTTGTTGTAAATCTACACTAATTATCTGTAAAGCACTTTGAGGCATTAACAAAATTACATTTGTAAAGCAACTTTCATGTCGGGAAGATGTCCCAAGGTGCTTATCACCTTGATAAGGAGCTATGAAAAGTATTCTTGCGTCTGATGTAGTGCTAATAACTTTGAAAAGTCCAAGCACTTCACAAGTAAGTGTTGTTGAGTGCAATGACTGGGATTTGTAGGCATTGCGGGAAGTGAATAACATGTCTGGCAGGTTGTTGGCCAGGACACTGGGAGAAACTTGCTTCTCTTTTTGAGTTGTGCCTTGGGATCTTTGAAGTTCACCTGTGCAGGCAGATGGGACCTTGGTTTAACATCTCATGTAAAGTATGAAATACACGATGGCCCAAGATCATACCAAAACTTTATGAGTCAATAAAACAAATCAATAATTCTTGGTACATTAATGTGGAATCCAAACTCCATGTATTGGTTGTTTCAACAGAGAAAATACTCTTTAATCTTTTGTGAATGAATAAATTGTAAATTTCTCCTGATTCTTTGTTTTACTTCAGGTAGTCCCAATAGTGTTGGGGAAACCTCCATGACCCAGTTGTTTTGCAATAAACTTTAAATGAACCTAACGTTTAGGTAACTGATCAATTCATATCCTGCCCTAACCAAGTACTGGTGGTGCAGGAGCAAGAATTGTTGAAGCCAACTTTTATTGTACATGTAACTGAATCTTTTGTTGTCAGGATTGCCATCAACCTGCGATTGAGTGAGTCTACAGACATTCCGCTGCACCTGAAGCCTAACTTCAAAGAGAAAGCCTTTGTTCGAAACTCATTCCTTCATCAGTGTTGGGGTGAAGAGGAGCTAAAAATAGATTGCTTCCCATTTAGCCCAAGTGCATACTTTGAGGTAAGAAGAGGTCCAGTGCCATCAAAAGGTTTTCATGGTTTCTGGAGTAAGTTGTGTAAAAGTAAATAGTAGTGCAAATATCTCTGCAGGAAGAGTGGATTGATTTCAACCACTTAAGATGGTGGGAACTCATTTTGGCTGCTACTGTTCAGCAGCAATAACAGGTAAGACTTGAGTTGTTGGTTTTCAGTGTTAGGAAACTTACCATGTGGGTAGACTACCTAGAAGTGGAAAGCAACCAGAAATCACCAGTGTTTATACTGACAAATAGAAGGGAAATTAATGGTTTAGTTAAGACATCCAGTGATGAGTTTAGTAACTTTGATCATTTGTGTTCCATAATTCCACAGGTTATCATTTATTGTGGTGAAGACTGCTTCAAGGTTGCTGTCAACGGGGAGCACTTATTGGAATACAAATACCGTTTTACCAACCTAAGTAAGATTGATACTTTGGAGATAGATGGTGATGTCGAGCTGCTGGATGTACAGACTTGGTAGGTGAACTGAGGCTGTGGTCTACAATTGACATTTGTGCAAAGCTAACACTAGGAGCATAACCCTGTCACAATTCTATTTCTTTATAGAAAGATTGTATCGCAATCATGCAGCAAATTGTGTATGGACTGTTGCTTGATGTTTGAAGATCGAGCGTGGCTTGTGTTTCTGGAGTTATTTATCTAATTTGAATTTCAGGAAAGGAATTTAGAAGATTGTTTATATTTCCATAGAACCTCTTTCTTATCCTTCTGTAAACCCACCTATTTCAAATATATAACCGACATACAGTCCTTTAGTTATATTATACAACTAGAATTCAATCCTTTAAAAAATATTAATTTTGTATTTAATTGCACACGGTTGATACTTACGCAATGTCTTAATAGCTAGCATTTCAAATGGCTGGAATCTATATGAAATTCCACGTTGATCTCAAACCAAGAACCCCTGAAAAGAATTTATTTCCTTGCCTGCAATAAAATAATTTTTAAAAAGTCACTTATTCACTTTGTATTTCTGACTTAACTTTCTTCAGCTGCTAAAGCTGTGGAAGACTGGGTTTTAAGCCCCTATGCTAAAACCTGCAGTTTAATGGCAAGTATTGTGCAGGATTTAACGATAATGTATATGATGGCTTCCATAAGTGTTCCATAAAAATGAAGTTAGATATAAAAGTTGAATGTAAACTCAGTTGAGTACATTTTTACTTTTTTGGGTAATGAATCCTTACGTTTACCCTAACAATATTCTCCATAGCTTGTGTTTAGTTGTGCAAGGACTGGAACCCAGTTGCACTGAATCGGTCTCATAACGACATGGTTTGGAATGAATACATTAAATAGATCTAAATTCTTGGCGACTAAGGATTATATTCTCTATTTATTCTTCAGAATTGAATTATGCTTTGTTTTTGAAAACTTGGTCTAAAGCTGTGATGTATCAAATTTAATACAGCAATAAAATTCCACTTCCATTTTGTATTGATTCAAGGTTGTACTAATTTTATTTGGCAATGCCAGTGTGTGAAAGTCTTGATATAAATTGTTATTTTACTTCCACTGGGGTCATATGTTGATCATTGTGTGTTACTAAGAAAAAGGTGGCAAAATCGCAGATTTAAATCCTAGCTTGCAGCTGGGTGATTGAGGACATAACTGATGATTCTGTACAATGTAACTCCAAGTTGGGAGAGAGTTAAGAGGTTAAAGGCTGACCCATTCCAGATTTCAAAGGCACAGCGCTGTTGGCATTTTAAAGTACAATCGTACAGAGTAATTGTAATGCACCAACAAACTCTGGTTAGCAAGATTTAAAATTCAATAACTTTTGAGAAAAATACTTCAAGGTGATTTTGGCTATCTTTCCCCTCCCCCTCTGGTTAATCTGAAAATACACCAATTGTCTTGGGAATTAAGTTACTCAGCTGTTTAGTCATTAAACTAGACCATTATCGGTTTTGAGAAACAGTTAAATGACTTACCGATGAAATTAATGCAATGCATTCAAACAATAGTGGTTTCTGATTCATTTATTAAATGTTGATTCCTTTAGCAGAATTTTCAAAGGGAAACCAAATGTTGGTCGATGCAGTAAAAGCTATTTGGGATGCCTCCAAACTATTTGGGATGCCTCCAAACTAAAGCCCACATAGTGCCTAAAACAAGTCAAATCACTTGATTACGACATATAAACATTGTCCAGATTTTAGATGCCCAACCTGCTGGCATTCAGTTCTTTTACCACAAGTGAGATAAGAATCTGTCTGCTCAAATCACACCTGTGATGTTAATTAACATTTGCGGAAAACACTTACATTCAAAATTCCAAAAGAAATCAGAAATCTGCATTGAAGATCTATATATAACAATATTGTTATGAACAATTGTGTGACTTGATGTTTCAAAAATAGCTCTGCAGTGGCTCTCCCAGTATGACCTCGAGTTGCTGAATAACTTTCTGGCATTGGTTCTCCACTTCTTCAGATTCATCTGGAACACAAAGGGCAAGTTTTACAACTCCTGTGAAAGACGTACCCTTACCTTTTGTCAACATAACAAATGCTCAGCTGCTTATTCAAGTAATGCACCTTACATGATTGAATTCCTCCCCCCCCACACACTCATTTACTTGAAGCAGGAAGAGTTCCTCTCTAGAAAAGTAGAGTGAACCTCTTGTGTGTAACAGAAACCCAGCACAGACCAGTGATCAATGCTAATCTGTGCTGGATTTCTGTGTCACAGGTCTTCCTGCACTATATTATTTAGTACCACATAGCATGAAGCCTCCAGGGAATATATTAATTTTGCCTATTTAAATATTATAAATGCTCCCAAAATAGCTGAAAGACACGGGTATCACAGTGTTTCACAGAAGCAATAATTGAATGTATCCTCAACCACAAAAGATTTGCAAAAAAATGAATGATTTGAATCCAATTTATTATCTTACCTTCCAGCAGCTCTGCCAGGAATGGGATGGCTTCTGGTAATAGGAGCATGTAGTTCTCCTTCAATTTACTGGCTAATTCCAACAGCATAAGCAGAGCAGAAAACCTCACCTACACATCAAATACATGTACTTTAGGGTCTTAATAAATTAATAATCTTTACATACATTGATATAGCGTATTTCAGTGGAAAGATGCCTCAAAGTACTGCTGTAAAATGTAATAACTATCTTTGTGGGTGACTTCAGAGCCTTTTCTTGATCGAACAATTGAGACCCATTCTCAAAACATTAGTTAAATTAAATGTTTTTTTTAATCCCTTTTCTAAGATGGATTTTTCTATAAGACTCATTACAGTTAATGTGTTTCTGGAACCATTGCCTATCCTTTCTTGATCCAAGTCAAACCTCTGGAGTCCTGGCAACTTCAATCAATTAACAAGTCTCAAAAGTCATCAGTTTGACTCAATATAATAATAATCCTTGCATTTGATATAGCGCTTTTCACGTCCGGAGGACGTCCCAAAGCGCTTCACAGAACACACTGTAAAGTGAATTAACTGTATATTTGTGGGCGAATGCGGCAGCCAATTGCGCACAGCAATGTCCCACAAACAGTCGTAGATTGAAAATGACCAATTTATTATTGTTTTTGGTTTTGGAGGGATTATTATTAGGCTCTGTGTGGAGTAAGGAAACTTGCCCAAGGTTTCGCCCTCTGCCTGGAATTGAACTCAGGTCTCTCGCTTGCATAGCGAGTGCTCTAACCACTGAGCTACAGGACTCCACAATATTTATGGCTAATACAGCAGCCATGTAATAATAATCCTTACATTTGATAAAGCACCTTTCACTCCAGGACATCTTAAAGCACTTCACAGGTTAAACTGAAAAATGCAGTTACTGTGTGTTTGGTGGGTGAATGCTGCAGCAAATTTGCCCACAAATGGCCGTGGAATGTGACCAATTTTATTTTGGGGATTGTTGGCCAATACACATTTAAACATGTCTCAACATTGTTTTTAACATGCAGGATTTAATTACCACACATCCAAGGTACCTACCTTTGCCAAACTGTCCCTGGTCTTTAACAGTATCTGATAATTCAGTGGTTTCCACAGAGAATCATCACCAAGGGCAACAGAAAACTGAGCGACACATGGGATAACATGAGTGACCACTCTTTCCTTGTACTTTTCTTCCCCTCCCAGCATATTCTCCAGCTGCAAAAACATCACAGGATTTTAGAGCACAACACTTAGATAACAGTATCCTTTTGTGCCATTCTTTTATATAATAATAATAATCCTTGCATTTTATATATATTAGATGCACTTGATATTCAAATATTTAGTTTTATTAGTTTTATGACGCATGCGGAAACCAATCGCCATGCTTAAGAGTATCCAAACCATGATGAGAATTCCATGCATCCCACCTACACCTGGATAGATTGTTGGAATGGAATGCACACTCTCTCCCTGGAGGGACGCATCCCGTTTACCTAATTTTGGAAAATATTAGCCGTAGGTTGACAGAAGTCACAGCTGGGGATTCCAGAGTATGTGTTGGGGTATTACTGGAGTCCTAACCAGCTAAAACTGCGTAGCTTGCCATTGATGGCAATCTCTAGCAAGCTTCCCCACTGTTGTCCAGCTTGGACCACCCAACCCGTTAACAGAGTTAACAGGAGCTGAGAGAAAGAATTCCCTGGTGACTGGTCTGCTCTTCCAAGTCCTGCCGATGAGCCAGATTGGATGAACTGTCATCAGCATATTCAAATGTATCTAATAACGTATATAAAAGAATGGCATTATTATGAGGCTGTCCTAAAACTTGTGTGGATTACAAGATGCCTAAACCCACTTCAAAATGATCACCTTGGAATATACATCATTAAAATGCTATTTTGGTCATCTGCTCATTGTTTTCAAATCCACTCACATGGCACTTCTACAAGAGGATCAGTCACTGCTCTGGTTCCTGAGGTTGATGCAGAGATAATCTGCAAATGTTAACCCACAAATGTGTAACATCTGAAGTCTATTTCTAGTTTTCAAATGCAGCTATGCAATTGTTCTGGTTACACTGCAACAATACGGAGCTTGCAGTATATGAAAAGCACAAACCCATGCAAGTTATGCACAATTATACAATTTATACTTAAGCACATTTAGCATTGAAAGATGTGAAATACATGTGCATCACTGTAGTATAATGGGAACCCATTGATAAGATGTAAAATAACACTCTTTCAGATGTCTAGGCATGAAATGGTGCACAGCCTGCAGTGTGCAACAAGACAATAACAAGAAAAAGAGAACAATAAACCAGAGGTGAGAAATTCCACCCAACTCTAAACTTAGTCTAAGAGTTCAGCCACTTCAGAGTTCCTACAATTTGGCAAATTCATAACATACAGCTTAACCTGGTTTGAAGCTGTTTTTCTGTAAATTAATTTTAAGAAATATAGAAGAAAATGCTTCAAAGTTAAGACTGAATACAGTAATTTGCCAAATCCTGGACACTCTAAAAACATAAGAAAGTAGAGTAAATCCAGATTAAATTTTTTGCTTTACAAGTCTGGTCTCTTCATATCATCTCAGTGTCACATTGAAAACCTTCAGCATGGCTACAAAATAGAGACATCTTTTAAATTGATGAAATGTTTATCTAATGACTGCAGAAAGTGACAAGTGCTAAAGCAGTATGTTACAAACCTGATCAACTAAGGGCATCATAAGAGCATCAGCTCTTTCCTTGCTGACAAATCGATGAGTGTCATACAGGAAAATTTTGTGCAGGCAGTTGATGACAAATTGAAGCAGTAAGCATGATTTTTCTGTATTCCATTTGGAGTCAAAGAAAGCTTCATCTGTGTTGGAAAAACAAAACATTTTGGAACTTGCAGCAATTCATTGTGCAATTCGATGAAGGTTTAATTTTTGTTGAAAAAATTCAGGCATAAATTGCACCACAGCATCTACAGTCACCTCCCCCTGGCTCGGAGTTGTACTCCGCCACTGTCAAGGGCTCTGGAATGCTAACCTCTGTGAAGGGTAGTATATACATGCAAATTGTTATTGTTGATGTCCAATGGGCTCTCTGGCAATTTTTGTGCCAAGCCCATAAATTTACACAGTGGAGTTGGTAACTTTATAATCTCAAATTAAAAAAATCTTACCAGTCTTGACCGAATTTGTCTGGTTCAGAATGTCAGCGAAAGGTTTCACTAAGTTTCCAGCAAACAAGGTGAACAATCCTTTCAGCTTGTCTGCGATGCAGTCTGCTAAACGGCTGAATGTGATCATTCGATCCTTGGGCTGTCCTTCTGACTTGGACCAGTCGAAGAGCTGATCAGAAGCAAGCCAAATGTTAGGGGACCATTCAATGGAAAGTTATCTGAAGACAAGCTAATGCTGTGACATCAACACATACCTTGAAGAACAGAGGCCTGAACGTAATCTCTGAAAGTTTCATCACCATAACGATGAGGCAGTTAATGATGTGACCCTCAATTTCACTCACTTTATCCAAGTCAACCTGTGCGTTGGGGAAGAAACAAATCACTCTTACACATTTGTTTCAGAAATAGAAAAAGAAAATATATTTAACCTTGTGTTGTAAGCAGCAATAATAAATAACTATTTGGAGCCAATACTTGCTGTGCGCCAATTTGCGTACAGCAAGATACCACAAACAGCCATGAAGTAAATGATTTCTGGAAGTTTGCTGGCTAGGATATGCAATTTTCTTCCACCAACAGCTTATTCACATCCACCTGAACAGCAGACGGGACTTTGATTTAACATTCATTTAAAAGAGGGCACCTCCATTAAATGCAGCAATTACTGCATACATTTAACAACTCCTGTAACATCTTTCCAAAAAAAAGGCATGGGACTTAGATCTGGTAGATACAGGAACATAAGAATGTGTAATATAGGAATTGCGAAACGAAAATAAAAATCACTTGAAGAGAATAAATTCTTCTATACATTTTCAGATCCACTGTTTGAAAATAAAACTCAGATCATTCAGTTGGGTGTGTGGTACCTCCAAATGATCTGCTCTGAAATCCAGGGCTTTGAGGAAGAATGACGTAAGCTCAGACTGATGGGAGTTCAGTTGTTCCTTTTCCATGTGACTGATGTTTTCCTTGAGGATAAGCATGAGTGGACCCAAACAGTTCTGGAACACAGAACCGTGCAGATAAATTAGAATGTTTTTCTCACATGTATGAAAACCCTTGCATAGTTTTTATTGGATAACAATAACAACAACAAATTGCATTTATAAAGTGTCTTTCACATTGGGAGGACGGTCTAAGGTGCTGGACAATGAGGGGTTTGCATCTGAGCTGCAAGTTGGGATCAGAAAAGGGTGGAGGGCAAGGGGATGGAGGAGGAAACATGACCGAAGGCATGGGTGCTCCGATGGGCTGAACCTCCTTCCTGGATTTATAATAAGGTTTCATAAGATGACAGGTTACAACAACAACAACAACAACAACAAGATTCCATTTATAGAGCGCCTTTCACGTCAGGAGGACGTCCCAAGGTTAAGGGAGCAGGAAGATACATTACTCAAGCACATCGCCTGTCAACCCTTGCAGCACTTTCCCCCAAGCTACCCTGGAGTCTTGCATAGGGTTAGGATGAAGAAACAATTAAAAAGTGTAAAAAAAATTAAAAACGTAACTAACCAGGTAATAATGGCAGGTACCCCACATCAAATCCCATTCTCTTAAATAGGAGACACAATAAACTCATTGCATTTAAGGTTTCATAACAAGAATTTCTTGATCTCCTTGAAAATGGTGTGTAGGATGGCAGGAAGGGTAGTTTTTCCTGCATCATTCCAGGTAAAATGATTTGCACGGATTGCAAAATACAATTACAGAAGAATACTTAACTAATACTGCAGTCGTTGAGAGCATTTGAACAAAGAAAACTGCAAACTTTTAAATGGATGCTCCATGTCCATATACAGTTGTAGACATTAGACCAGATTCACAATAACTAAAAGTTTAACAATGGCACTCAACTAGAACTTGGTTTTCATAATCCTCCAATTTATAATACCAAAAACAAGAAGTGGGTCACTTCCAGGCTTCTGAAATTTTCCATTAACTGTCTCCAGTAGAAAAAAAAGCTACCGCGGTAGATAAATAACACCAACCTGATTAGTGTCAACAAGTTTATTGTAACATTTACTAACTGCAGGCAACAGAACCCGAGGAGCGAGCTTCGTGGCTAGGGTGGTGCGGAGAGATGTGAGTCGTAGGTTGAGTTGTGAGGAGTGGCTTGGCCTGGAAGCAATCTGTGTCAAGCAGGTGATCTTCACGAAAAACACAAATGTATTTTAACATAAATGAATCTAACCAGATAGTGAATACAACAACAACACATTTTAAAACAGGTCTCAGGGCTTTTACTTCTTTATTTTTTTATTTTGCACTGCACTCACTTGTGTCAGAATGCCCAGCAGGTAGGGACTAATGAAGTGAGGTAACGTTTCTGTAACTTTCTGCAAGGCTGCAACAGCACTCAGCAAATAAATCTCATTGGACAGCAGGGCCTTGTGGTTTCTCAACATCTTCAACAGCCCTGGCATTAGCCTGCAAAGCACAAACCCAATCTTATATCAGCCTGCAAACAACAAACCTTCTGATATCAGCCTGTTAATAACAAATCCTGCCTTAAATGCTCTCAACGGTCATTATAAAGTAAACACACAATGCAGTTGCTACTGCTAAGACTCCATACCTTGGAAGCTGTGGTATTGCTAATGCTTTGAGTGCAGAGGTAACTTCAGCTACACAGAGCAATGCACTTGCCAGCACGTTTCTTTCCTCCTCACTATCACCTGTGATCAGGTCAACGGCTGTCGTCAGCACAGGCACAAATGGATTTTGCTGATTAGTACCGAAGCACTTGCACAGTAGCTTCAAGCTGTAGAGTGCCGTCTGCCTGTTCACAGCTTGCTCCTCTTCCTCCTTTTCCTTACTACTCACAATGGATAGAAGATCCTCAATCAGGTTCAGAAGCAATGTCACCTGTTGAAGAAACAACTGGCTTTAAATATTACATTAGACACACAAGCATACAAAACACACAGGATTTTCAGCCAAGACAACAACAACAAATTGCAATTATGTATCACATCAGGAGGACATCCCAAGGTGCTGGAGAGTCAAGGATTTGCACCCAAACTGGGGGTTGGGCATGAGAGGGAGCGGTGGGCCAAGTGGGGTAGGGGTGGGAAGATGACTGAAGTCTCGGTCAAAGAGGAAGGACTTGAGACAGAGGTTGAAAGAATTGAGAGAAGGGGCAAGGAGATGGAATTCCAGTGGTGGGGGTGGGGGGAGTGGGCAGAAAGTCCGATTAAGGGGCACACAGGGTGAGGGCCTGAAGCAGGCCAGTGTTAGTGAGGGAAGACAACCTCCTTTTTCAATAGCATTTCTGACAATGCAGTGCTACTGTGTTGCAGCTGTGACGATTAACTCAAATGTGCGCATTGAACACAACCTTCTGACCCAGATGCGAGAATGCTACCAACTAAGCCAGGCTGTCATCTAAGGCAAGCTACATCTCAGACCTCTGCCAACACTGTTCTCTGAATCAATTATACACTAAAACTCACATAAGTTGTATCAGTCGGGACCATAACATTTACTATGTCTTAAGTGAAGTCCAAGTTGCAGGCAAACTGTATAAGTTGCATAAAATCCGATTTAATCAATAATCTACACTGCACATGCGTAATTCAATGCAGCTGGTAAGTGTGTATGCGTCGACGGGTTAGTCATTTTCCGTGATTCAAGGCAGCGGGTAGTGCGGGAGTAATGGAAGATACGGGTGTGGCATTTGGAGGTGATAAATACGACTAGGTGAAAGGAAATCTAAATGGTTTTGATAGGAAACTGAATGGAACTCGGGTGGATGTACAACTTAAGTGATTAGGAATTATAAAGATAAGACTTATGCGAGTTTTACTGCATTTAAATCCTGAAAATTCATTTCTCTGAATCGCTGAAATAAATTTAGGTAAATAATGGCAGATTTCTGACCCTTTTAACTAACATTTTAAAAAGCAACTTGCATTTGCAAAGCACCCTTCAAGTGGGGCAACGTCCTGGAGTGCATGACAGTGCGGAGTCTGACCCCGAGCCAGAGGGAGAGGGAGGTGACTGTAAGAAAGATCAAAAGGGAAGGTCTTTAGGCAGGATTTGAAAGTGGGGAGGGAGGGGCAAGGTTGAGGGAGAGTTCCAGAGTTTCGGGGCGTAGTAGCTGAAAGGGGCAAGGGACGAACAGGAGGCAGGAGCTGATTGAGCGGAGGCAGCGGTTCGTGGAGTGGGGGGGTAAACAAATTGGGATAGGTAGGGAGGTGCGAAGGCATGAAGGGATTTGAAAACGGATGAGAGGATCCTGAAGTCGATCCATTCGGTATTTGGGGGAAGTGGAGCCTGGCAAGAACTGGTGCTTCTCTAGCAGTAAACCACATTTGAAGATGAAAGACTTGCACAGCAACTTCTGGAAGATAAGCTCCACTTAGTTTATTTAGTCAAGGCTCACACTCCAACAAAATGATGGGGGAACGCTGTATTATCAGAGGTAGTGTCCTTTGAATGACACGTTAAACTGTGCGACACAGTTAAACTGTGTCCTTTGAATGACACTCTGACACTCAGTGCCTTTTCAGGTGTACAAGAAAGATCCCATGGCATTATTTGAAAAAGGGGAAGGCAGTTTCTCCTTTGGTCATGGCCAAGAATTTACAAAAATTGGCTTGAAAATTAACACTAAATAAGAATAATCGAATATTTGCATGCTATGTAATACCAAGAAAAAATATATAGATATAAACCAAGGTAGAACTTCTCCCCAGAGTGTTATAGGATACAAGTTCAAATGAATCCTTTATGTTACTGAGTTCCTGCAATTTTCAACTCCAATTTTTATCCTCTAATGCTTATTTCAAAAGTATAACTGTTCCACCACTTGATTAGATCATTTCAGATCTATTAAATTCACCTTCCCCATCTTTTTTCATGTCTCAAAGTATTCTTTCTTTACAAGTATGTATGTGTGTGAAATCAAGAGTGAGGATTATTATATATGTACAAAGCAATTCCATTATAACACTGTCATCTGGGTCTGATGTCTCAGGCCCTGTGTTATAACCAAAATGCAAACAAAGGCCAATAAAATGCACATAGAATTAAATGATACTTTTAAAGGCTAACTTTGGATTCTCAGGTGACCATTCTATTATAGTGCTGGGGGTGCCTGCATTGTTAAACAAGCCGAATACAATAACAAATTACATTTGTATAGCGCCTTTCATGTCAGAAGGATGTCCCAAGGTGCTGGACAGTCAAGTATCCACACCTAAGCTGGTGGTTGGAATCAGGAGGGGTGAGGGGTGGAGAGAGTAGGAGGGTGACTGAAGGCACAGTCAAAGAGGAAGCTCTTGAGAGGGGTCTTGAAGGAGGTAAGGGAGACGGTGAGGTGGAGAGACTGTGGAATGGAGTTTCAAAGATTGTGGGCAGAGAGGCTGAAGGCCCGCCTGCCAATGCTGGGGCGGGCAGGGCGGGGGATGTGAAGCACAGCCAGAGCCTGCTGAGCAGACTGGGGCAGACAGTTTAGTAAGGGGGTTAGGAGGTCACAGAGGTAGGGGGGAGCGAGGCCATGGAGGGCTTTGAAGACGAGGACCAGGATCTTGAACTGTATCCTCTGCGTGATGGGAAGCCAGTGGAATCAGGCGAGAATGAGGGTGATAGGGTCATGGAGCCTGGTGCTGGAGTGGACACAGGCTGCAGAGTTCTGATTGATTTGCAGTATGTGGAGGAAGGAGATGGGGAGTCGAGAAGCAGGATGTTTGCTTAGTCAAGCCTGGATGTGATGAACGAGTGGATGAATGTCTCCTCGGCCTGCGGTGAGAGACAGTAGCAGAACCGGACAATAATGCAGAGATGAGGAAAGGCGGAGCAGGTCATGGCATGGATGTGGGATATGAAGGATAATGGCTCCATGAGATGTAGAGTGCATCCATGAAGGTTGATGTTGTCAGCGCCCGAGGTATGGAGCTGCTGGTGGGAGACAAGCAGGAGGCACTAAAGGTGGCACTATATGAATAGAAAAGGGAGGTTCTCCCGGTATCCTAGCCAATAATCCCTCAAATAAAACTTGTGGTAGACTGCAATGAGCAAATTGGCTGGTGTGTTCACTTACGTTTGTAGAGTCAATACACTCTGCAGTAATTCTAGTGAAGCACTTTGAGATGTATCGACAATGTAATAAGATGGTATATTAAATGCAAATAATATTATTTCGATAAAATTGCCCTGGAGTCATTTATATATGCACAGCGACAAATGTGTGAAATTTACCAAATTGAGAAAAATACTGTTTGGCTCACAGCAACAAATGGAAATGCATGCTATGAATTTCAGATGAGATTCTTCTTTCACAAAAAAGTACTTTGTTGGGCAAATGTTTCCGTTGGACAAAAGAGCAGCTCATATGTAAATTTCAGCATGATGACACAATGCACAAATGATTCAATGAAACGTTTTGAAAATATTTATATCTCTGCATTGTACTGTTTCCGAGAAACATCACGCTTTGCCACACATTTTTCATGATGGCATTACACCTTTAAATTTGTGTCATGCGATTGTGTCAATTATATAACACAAATGAAATAATAATAATAATAATAATAATAATAATAATTGCATTTGATATAGCACTTTATCATGTCATTACAATGTCTCAAAGTGCTTTACAGGATCTAATGTAATGTATAGTGACTATACCTGTAACCAGACGCAAATAGCGGATTGAAGCAACAAAGAAACATTTGATCCCATTAACCAAACTTCAATTGACTAAAGGGATTTTTACCAAATCCAGTAATTATAAATTATTTGGGGGGATTTGAAGCTCCAGGATCTGTTTTACCAGGAGATTAAGCCCAAAGCACAGGCAGTAAAGCTTGATGCAAATGCTTGTCTGCCAAAGAGAACAATTGCTCTGAAGTAGATCTCATCTTATAAAATAAGATGCTTTTGATGGTAAGAAGTTCTGAAACATTTTGTTTGGATTTGTAACCCTGTTTATTTATTCAGCCAAATGCAGAGCCAAACCGGCCCAAATACAGTGAATTATTCTGTTCCATGCTGGATGTATCTAGAATCCAACATAGTTTCATTTCTCTCATTATTAAACTCACCATCCCAGTACTGAAATGTACATTTCCAGAATATATTTATAATGCAACAACAGTACCATCCGCAAGGACTCATGCCATGGGAATTAATTACAAAGTTGCCCTTTGTCACGCCCCAGTGAAGGATAATATAGATGGAGACCATAAGCAATAAGGAAAATAAATATTAGTTTGAGCACCTCATGGAAATAGGAACTGTCATTGGGGGAGAAGCTGGTAATTGGTAAAATTCAGGATCAGAGCAGCACAGGGATAAATTTAGACACTTGCAGAATTATTAATATTAGAAGGATTTAGAGCAAATGTATTGGATCCTCTGTCAGAATATCTAACAAGATAGACACCATGGCAAAACTATTGCAAAAATAAATTTGTTTGTCGGTGGTTACGCTCAAATAATACTTCAGTGTCAAACAACTAGAAATCCATAAAAGCAAGTTTTGTTAAGTTTTACTGTAAAAATATTGCATTAAAGGACCGTGTTTTAATAGTGTGACAGATTCATCTTGTTAAAATACTGCTGTATTGTTAGTGTAAGTCACTACAAATCAACAGAACACACGGTCAAATTTGAGAATTCCTTTTCAAGGAGCAATCTGCCCTGATGAGTGCTTCTTTGAGCTATTTGCTTAATAATCCTTACATTTGGTATAGCGCCTCTCATATCTGGAAGATGTCCCAAAGTGCTTCACAGGATACACTGTGTGTCTTGTTTAGTCACTAATCAGTTTATTTTTCCCTGTGTTTTTATGTGAAAGTTCATCCTTTTAATCCTATGTTAGAAGACATAAACTTGCTTTGTGAAGAAACATCTACCTCATGATTACTACAAGCTGTTGAC